AGGTGGATAGTATCATGAGACAAATATTGCCACGGACAATTGAGTGTGGTATAATAGACTGGAGCAAGCAAGAAAAAATCAGACTTAGATGGGCAAAGAAGAAACCCTGATAGTTGAGTAATAGCTATAAGTAGCAGTAGAGGGAAGTATGTTTTGGAATAAGCACAACTGAAGGGGATATGGGATTCCATGAAAGCCCAAGTTCCCAAAAGAGAGAGAACCTCCCACACAGCAGGAGAAGGAGAGGATGGTTGTAGGAGGTTTGTTGGGCACAGCCAAACAAGAAAAAAAAGCATTTGAGATGTCCACCTTGATCATCCCAAGACTTGAGGCAAAAGACTATCATAAGATGAGAAATACCCCATGGGAAAACAAGGGATGATGATAAACCAACTGAAACATGAAAGATGTTTGACACAACACCTATCTATATATTCACTGGGAACCATAAAAAGACATGAATTTAAATCTGGAAATAGATAAAAAAACGATCCAATAGCGATTGTTGCCATTAAGACCAACATTGCCATGGACCAATGTTGACAAGAAATAAGATCCCTTGGATGATGTAAAATAATGAGAACAGGAGAAATTGAAGGAGGAAAGGAAAAACATCCAAATCCTATTCCACAAACAGCTGCAAACAGAGAGTAAAGGTCCATAAACCAAACAAAACAGGCCCAACTGACCCTGAACGTATAGAAAAGTCACTGCCAAGACTGAGAGCATCAAAGTCTATGAACAGAGGAAGGACAGATGGGAACAGGAAGTGGTGACAGAGAGAAAAGAGGAAGTAGGAGGAGAGGAGACAGAAAGAAAAGAGGCAAAGAAGGAGAATGAAGACACAGAACACCAGTAAGGATAAGGAATAACATTAGCTTGTGCCACCAACATATGACACCAGAGAAACAAGCATATCAGTAAAATCATACAGATAGATGAAAGGAGCCAGAAGAAGGCATGTGAGATATAAAGGAAAGCAAAAGCAATTAAGTAACAAGGGCATCACATCTCAACTAACTCCAGCAAAATATCAACCAAATAAGAAGTGAAAATACTGAGAAAGATAAAATTCCACTGTACAAAAATTAAGTGAAGAAGCATCCACTGAAAACCCCACAGGGGAATAGTGGATTACCATTGAAAGAAGGTTAAAGAAGGAAAAATAATGGAAAAGGATAATGGTTATAAGACAAAGGCAGGAAAACCTAAGCCTAAGAAAGATGAGCAAAAGACAGAGGATCTGATCCCCAAGTCTGAAGAAAAGACACCAGAGTTTAGGAGTAAAAAAAAAGCAATACAGCACATACCATACCTAGTCATATGAGGTAGGGAGAACAAGGCATGTATGCCCCAAAGTAATGGTAAATATAATTGAATATGTAAAAAACATATCTGAGAAACCTAGTAATAAAATCATGAATGAAAAGCTGAAGTAGGATCAAGACAGCATGGGTATAAGATGAGGTAAAGGTAGGTGGGAAAAAACTGGCAAAATCCCTTTCACCACCAACAATAAATATACGCACAAGTAATTCAGGAACAAAAGAAGGCATGAAAGACTCCACCACCTGCACCCCCAATAGCCATCACCTCTTCCAACAGACAAAGACAAACCCAATGCCAATGTAGTTGGTAGGCTAACATGAACAAAGTGTTGTTGTTTCACACCAGTAAAAGCGGAAGTTCCTAACACTTGTGAAAAATGTCCTTGTAGGTACTTCCACTGAAAAATGCCTATATCTTAAAAGTTCACAAGCAAAAAAAAAACATATTGTTACATACTGGTGGTAAATCGAAAAGTGATGATTGTGTTCTACATTATAGAGGGTGTGTCACACTCAATTGGTGAAGGGTTGTCGCATTTTCATTTGTATGCTACAATGCAGCTACACCACATGTAAACACATAATGTTAGGTGAGAGCCTCAAGGCTAGTGGTGATGAAAATTGCACGTATAAATGATAGCACAAATCAAGGAAAGCTAATATGTGAGTGAAGGTAAGGTATCATATCAGAATTATAGATTCTGGCTTCATAGAAAGTTGAGTAGATCCACTTTAAGTAGGCAGGAAATTTTAAACATTTATGAATTGATAATTGTGTAATACATTCCATATTCTTATGAAGATCTATCAGTGTTTCTCTTTTTTTTGTCTTTAACTTACAATCTGGTTTAAGATACCTCTTTCTGATGACTTGATCTGAACTAAATGAAATAAGTAAATGTTAATGTATGGAAATTATTCCAGCTTTTTGACAATAGGTTGTTGAAACCAATCCCTTTATGAAGGCAACAAATTTATTCTCCACAAGCTAACTTAGGAAATAATGTCAAATGGATATAGTTTTGAATCATAACTAATGTCTCTTGTATAAATAATAAAAATTAAGGTGGTTTCATAAACTCCTTGATTACACAGGTATTAGATATTACATGTGTTGTTTTTAACTATATGATAAATGCAATCTCAAGTGGCTTCACTGTTGAAACTTGAGTAACTCTTGGTTACAATGGCTGCACCAGCTTACAGATCTATTTGGTTGTTACACCTGCTACCTGATTCACCAGATGGGCCATTCTGCCAGTCAGACTCATTAACTGGTCTCAAACACTATTTTTCAATCCATGTTCTGTTAGTCCTTTTTCATGGTGAAAATACTAGCATTTGTAGTTTTGCTACACAGAACATTAAACATCATCACTGATGTACTGTTTTACTTTTGTAATTCCTTCAACATCACTATGTACATTTTCTGCAATGTTTTCAATAGATTGTAGCACATATTACTTTTAGCTTTATGCTGATGGTTTCACTGTACTAACTCCCTAAATATTTTTACTATGCCATTTGTATGCTACACCAAATAATAATATCATAGAATTAAGCCTATTAGTAAACATATAATGTAAATAAAGCAACACAATATTTTAAACTTGTCACAAATAACAATTTAAAATATTGTGTTGCTTTATATTATTCTATGTCACTGGAAATTTGTACTTAATTTTTTCATTAAAGTACATTGATCCCATAAATTCTGAACTTGTTAAGAAAAACTTGGAAAGTTGAAAAAATTATAAAGCTCCTGGGTCAGATACTATTTTCCCAAGGATTTTGAAGAAGGTTAAGGAATAGATATGTGAGCTACTTGCTATTATTTTTTTGTAATTCCTTGAATAGTGGGCAGGTGCCAGAAGATTGGAAGTTAGCTAATGTTACTCCTCTTTCCAAGGAAGGTAATAAAAATTGTTCTAATAATTATAGGTCTATCAGTGGGAAACGTTTTTGAAAGTTTGATAAAATACACTTTGCAATGTCATTTAACAAAGTTTGAAATTTTGTTGAATAATCAATATGGTTTCTCTAGAGGAAACTTGCTTTACTAATCTTTTGACATTCTTTGAAGAGGTTACTCTTATGTTAATTATGGTTAAGGTGTGGCTTTGGTGTATTAATTATAATAGATGCAAGGGAATGCATGCGAGTTATCATAATTTGAATTATAATATAAGTATAATTTTAATAGGAATAACCTTAACAGTGTTATGGAAGAAATAATCTTTATGTTCTGGTTGATCAGGCTCTTAAGTCATCCTAGCAGTGTGCTTGTTGCTAGTGGTAAGACTAATGAGATTTTGGTTTGCAACTATAAAATACTGAATATAAGTTTAAAGATATGATAATATCCTTACATAGATAACTTGTTAGGCCAAATCTGGAGAAATGTATTCAGTCTTGGGCTTTTTACATTAGGGAAGATATTGAATTGTTGGAAAGGATTCAAATAAGGGCTACTGAGGTTGTTGACTCTTGAAAAAAGAAGAGTTAGAGGAGATCTGATTGAGGTATTTAAGATTGTTAAGGGAATTCATAATGTTGATACATTGTCTTTTCCCAAAGTTAATGGTGAAAATTATCTTGAGTTTGCTCAGGTCAAGTGGTAGTAGACCCATAACCATATGAGTGCCAGAGACATAGGGATGGTACTAATTAGCAGTTCTAAGAGCCCAGGACAGACCTTGAAAGTTGTTGAGGGATTTAACAATTGCTGTAAAAACTCAGGCAGAGCATTGGAAATATATGGAGTTGATACCAATTGGAAGTAGACCCATAGAAAGACAAAGGGTGAAATGGAAACAAAATATTTAACAATCAGTTGGAAATAGAGGAACAACATAGAAGAAGGTATAGCAACAAGAATTATATCTGGATAGGAGAGTGTGGCAAAGTTTTGTGGGTGATGCAGCCAACAGAGTTTTAGCCTAAAGGAAGAAGAATGTTAAGACTAGAGGACACAAATATAAATCTTGGTAGGGTAGGCATCATTTTCAGCTAAGACAGTTCTATTTTTATAACAGAGGGATTGGTCTTTGGAATGAGTTGCTTTCAGATGTGGTGGAAACAGTAAATTTAAGGGAAGGACTGATAAATATGTAAATGATAAGGTCTGGTTTTGATGTTTTTTTTTGTTTTGTTTTTTTATTAGATAGAACAGCCTAGGTGGACCAACAGGTCCTTTATTGTCCTAAAATGTTATGTTATATTGCTAGCCATGAAAATTCAAATTAAGTAAATCATTCTATGATGACTTTCTTCATATCAATTTTCAACAGATGTATTAGATAGTGGTATAAAAGCAATTACAGCACAGTCAAGTTTTATAAATATTATACTAAACATAATATTAAGAACAAAATTAGCAAAGAAAAACAAACAAACTTTAAACCTTAACATCAGAAAAATATCCTGTAGTAAATTCATCTACATTATACAAAAGTATCAAAAGTCAATCCAAATGTTAAATTCTTACTCACAGGAAAAAAAGATATATAACAATATATAACACATTTTTACCTAAAATATTGGAACTCTTCACATATCCTGAACATGCTAAACAAAAATTTGTAAACTGACACTTAACAAATGAAAATCAGTAACCCTTTTTTTCAAAATTCTGCTCCCTATTTAAAACAAAAACTGACATTCAAAACTTACAAGATCAGAAGAATATAAAGGCTGACAATAAAGGTTAAGAGACTCTAGGTATTTTACACATTCTCTTGCTTCATTCCATCTTTCTGTAATGAGTTTATCTATTTGTAGCCAAGCCTGTGAAAGGAAAAACAAACTTAAGCATACATACTAAGCTAAATATGTAAACACTGAAGTAATATGAAATGGTTAAGAAATTATATTTATGATTGTGATATAAAACTCTGTTTTCAAAACATTTGCTAGAAATCTACAGAAAAGCCACTTAAAATAAATAAACAATATTTTCTGATAAAAACTAAACCTATAAAATATAGATTTAAATTTTATGAAAAAATATTTTTACAGTTCATTAGAGAGCTTTCTAATAACCTTTTTTTTTAAATTTAGAAAACTTAACATCAACGTTTACAGAAATAAATTTACTTGAAAATTCCTAGCTGGAAAATAAGTTTGAAGGTAAAGTCATACATAAATAAATTAATTTATATCATTAAGCTGCTGCTATTAAGTAAGTAGCATTTGATTTGAAATGTTTGATAGGAATGCATTTAAAAAGGAGGAGTTTGTCAACTCACTTTGATCATTTTAGAATTAGCTGCTTTCAACACAAATATAACTGTGCAGAAATTATGGCCTTGAATTTGATCAGTTAATGATCCAAAGTTCCCCTGACGGCATTTCCAGTATTCTAGCTCAGCTTGAGGACCAAGATCTTCAGATTCTTTCCTTATTTGGGAACTTTCTTGAAGAAACTTCAACAAAGAAATTATATATTTCTAAAATCAACACACGACATATGCAAAATTGGTTTTCGATGGGTTCTATTGCTTACAAATAAAATCCCCATTAAAAGATATAATTTACTACAATATCTAGTAGTACAATGTTATATAAATTTTAATGTGTCAAAAATATTCCTGTTTCAGATTAATGTTACACATTCTGATCAGAAGTTGAAATCAAGACTTTTGGAAAACAAGGTCTGTAATCTACTACTCAAGTTATCTAGGAGTTATTCAGTTAAAATTCCATCAATTATTTCTATTAAATATTCTAAACTTTAAGTCAAACAGACCTCATACAGTATACACTGTCTCCTTTCTTTAGATCTTTGGCATTAAATCTTAACTAACAAATTAATTTCAATTTAAAAAAAGCATAGGAGATATCCAGAAAAGTACCTGAACCCATGACCTTTAACACTATCAGTACTCTCAAACCTGAGATACTAGAGAAAAAGCTCCAAAATCATCAACTCTCTACTTTAACCATTACAATACAGTAATATTATACTAATAGTAATAATATATATATATATATATATATATATATATATATAAGTTCTTCAGTAATTCTGTATTCTACTAATACATAT